TCAAAAACATCTATGTTAACAGATTCAAAAACATCTATGTAAACAGACTCAAAAAACATCTATGTAAACAGGTTTAAAAACATCTATGTTAACAGATTAAAAAACATCTATGTAAACAGACTCAAAAAACATCTATGTTAACAGATTCAAAAACATCTATGTAAACAGACTCAAAAAACATCTATGTTAACGGATAACTTGAAAGCTGATTGTAACTTTTAACCATGTAGGTGCTGTGTATTAAATAGAGCATGAAACAGATTAAGGCTGTAATCTGTTGCTTTGCCTCTAGATGTCAATAAATAATCCCAAATTAATGTTTCAATAAATCTTTTTTATTGCTCCTTTAAATGACAAATTAAATTGCTCATTGAACATACGATCATTTGCATTACCTTGTAGAGTGTTAGAAATCTTTATAGTTTGAGCTTGTGTGTGTGTGTTTATACATATTTATACATTTACAGATGGAATAGCTGCAAACAAAACAAACAGGCAGCTAATAACCGGACGGCTACGAATAACCAGATGGTGACACCAGAAGGAGAGAAGCTGCACAGCGACAGCGGCATCTCGGTGGACACGCAGAGTCTGCAGGAGCAGCAGCAGCAAGCGCAGGCCGAAGTCCAGCCCCAGCCTTCACGCTCACACACACAGGAACAGATAGGTAAGCTGTCATTTACACAACAGACCATGACTACAAGCCTTTATCAAAGTCTAATAATCCTCAAATCAATCTTCGTATTCTTAAGTGAAGCTGCTTTGCCCTACAAGCCTGGAAAATCATGTCTGTTGCTGTATTACAGACTAAGAGTTTTTAACTTTATCTTGGCAAAAAGTTCAGATAAATCAAGATCTAGTTCTGCTATGGATCACTGAAATGTCTTCAGTGTTGCGCAACACTTTATTTAATTTATTTTTGTAATCTGAGTAGGAACACATTCCTATGGACTGAGATTAAAAACAATATATTTCCTGGCAGCAGGACTGACACTTAAATGTTCCCGCCAAAAACGGAAACACAAGGAATGTCCAGGAGATGTGGAATGCTTCATTTATCTAAAAAAAAGGAACAGGTGTAAAATAATGCCCTCCTCCTTCAAGCATTAGTCTTTTTTCCCCAATTAATATTGTCTTTAAAATTTAGAGCTAGCGTTGTTTTACGCCGTTTCTGATAGAATACACCAGAGTACCAAGTTCAGAGTACCTGCTCTGAACTTGTCTCCACTAGGCGTACAACTCGGCGTTTATTGGTCTCGTAGGGCCTGAGAAATTATTTTGAGTGCAGTCTGCAGGACATATTTTGCCGACAAAATCGAAAAAGGTTTTGCAAGATGAACTCTCTAAATGCAGTCTGGCTTAGAACCAACATTATGCACTTGACTGATCTATTGTAAAGCAATTTACGAAACACGTATTTACTTCCATTGGTGGAAGGCATTAAGAAGGATAAACACAAAGTTTGGCATCATTAGAGCTTGAACAGTCCCTTTAAATGTGTTAATGACCCCTTTCCTCATCTGAATATAAACTATGATCGAATTGTTGATTAGTTTGTTTCCAACTTTCCTTCATGCAGAGCCTTCATTTCTGCATGCACACTAAAACTATGAACACTGAACGTTTAAAGCACCAAGAAAATGGTGAAACAGCAGGAACAGACATGAAACATGCCCATCACAGATCCGTTCACCTTCCTTCAGCATTTATATTCATTTTATATTACGAAAACAACTTCCACCTGCACGTGTGTATTCCCCGGGTACTCCGGTTCCCTCCCACAGACCAAAAACGTGCATGTTATGTTAAAATACAACTCTAATTTGTCCCTAGGTGCAAGCGTGAGCCAGAATGGTTGTTTGTCTCCCTGTGATGGACATGCAATCTGTCCAGGTTTTCCCCTGCCCCTCGGCACAGTGACTGCTGGAGAGGCACCAGCTCCACTGCCACTTGGAAAGGAAAAAGTGGATAAAGAAAATGTGTAGATAAAAAAGAGCATTCTCACAATAGTAATATTAACCTTTATTTAACCAGTCAAATCCCATTGAGATCTCAAGTCTATAGTTCAATGACCCGCATTTGTCAAGCGGATCCAAACATGTCGCCAGTGATCTGAACAGGCAGGTCTAATACAGTTTCGTTCGGCACGTATAGTTTTCTGCTCTGTGGACACATTTGGCTGGTTTTAGCGCATTGATATGACCACTTCATAGACCTGACATGAGCTGAAACGCAGGAGCAGCTGCAGTGAAACCTGCTGAGTTCAACAGTGGAGAGATTCTCTTGGAGCAGACAGACGGGATTGCAGCAGAAAACAGAAAACTGAGAAGAACAAAGTCAAAAATGGGACATTTTCACCAACATGGTATAACTTTAAACAATAATCTGTGGTTTATGCAGCTGTGGTGGGTCAGTGGCTTGAACAGTGGTCTTGTAATTGAATGTTTGCGCATCCGAAACTCATCTGGATCTTCTATTGAAATCAGTGATGACATCATTTCTTTGTTCACCTTTCTATATATTTTCTTAGAGTTACTTCTATTAACGTTTCCCTCCCATTTAACTGTGTTAATCTGGAGTAATATTTCAAAATTATTACTTTAAATCATATTCAGCAAGCGTTCAATACAAAATCACATTAGAAATCCAATCTAGAAAGATGTGCACCTGTCGGCTGGAGGTTGGTGGTGCCCATTTTCTGATTTATTAGACCGGGCAGTTTATCGCAAGACACAACCTCGACCCGCGGGAGGAAAAAAGGCACAACCTGAGCTGAAATCAACATAACCATAGCTAAATTATAAATTAACAAGCAAATAGCTCAAAGCTAAAAGTAGCATCTTACAACAAAAAAGAGCAAGTGGAAGATCTATGGAGAGAATTAACAGGCAATGATGCTGAATCAGCATTGGCACAATAATAATAAGATTCTAGGAATGTTTTGCAGTTTGGCGGTTGTTTAATAATTTTGACCCGTCGGCTCGTTAGCTTGTTCGTTCATTAGCAGCGTTTAAAGATGCGATAAAGACCGGGTCTGTGTTACCTTCCTAAATCGGATGTAGCGATAATGTTTATCAGGTGATAATTGGCTTTAGCAACATTTGTCTGTGTGGAAGCTATTACTATGTTCTTGTGCAGGAGGGGGTTGGTTCCTTTACAACCTATAAAAACACACAAGGGCGGGGGGGACGTTCATCCATTATAATCACTAGGGGGTTTCCTGCTGCTAGTCAACCATACTTTAATGGTAGGTAAAGCAACGCTAATGACTCCGTTCGTATAATAAATAAGCTTTTATAAAAAGAAATAGAGTAGAAGAAACGTCTGCTGCTGTGACCGCCTTTCAGACGGGAGTGGGGGGGCGGGTATTCCTTGTATGAGTCCGTTGTGAGGGGAGCGCTCCTTCACGAAGAGTGCTCGGCCTCATTTCTGTCAGCTCATCAACCAGCCGTCTATATGTGCAGCCCCTGTCCCTGCCCTTCACAACTCCTCCTGCGCCCCCCCCCCCCCCCCCCCCCC